CGCGGAAGCAAGTATTGTACGGATGGACCGCCGGGTCAGTAAGCCACCAAGCTCGCCAGGGCTCGGCTAGATCAACATCGTGAGCACACTGGACCCAGTCTCTCCCGGAAGGAACCCACGAAAGGTTAACGGGAGAGTAATGTGGAACGGACGGATCAAAATAAACCTCTGCGTCCACCAGTGGAGCAGGTTCATCGCCGAGCTTCTGAGTGACCGCCGAGTAAAGCTGGTCGTAGACAGCAACAACCAAAGATCGCAAGGTGTCACTACGACGTTTGCGCTCGCGCTTGTACACCAGCCACAGCTCGTATACCTCAGCAAGCTGGGCGGGCGTGGCAGCCGGGTTGACGTCAGGATGGAGACCCATTAACACACTCGACTCGACAATCCAATGACGACGCTCATAGAGAGCTACGAAGTAACGAGTCATTTGGCCATCTGTCTGGATGGGCCTCCCCGCCGAGTCCAAGGGACTGTCGCCACGAAGCTTCACCCACATATCTCCAAGAACTTGCATCAAAGTTCGAGGCCGGGTTTGAGAAACCAAACATCGCCGAGCTTTCTCCAGTATCGACGGAGAAAAGAAGAAAGGAAGCTCAGGGAGCATCCGCCGAAGACGCTGACAAGGATGGCTCGGGTCGAAAACGGCCATGAAAGCTCGAATGCCGTCAAGAGAACACGGCGTAGGTGGGACACGACTCTTGCCCCCTACGAGCTCCATCTGCACCCCTCCGCTCAGTGTATCCAATAATGCATTCCAACAACGAGTTGAGCCGAAATGCATGAATGGTACCTCGCAGAGTTGAGCCATGTGAAGAGTCAGGCGAAAATCCTTGGACACCGCTTGCGAGGCCCGAGTCCGTAACGTCGCCAGCGGGAGTGTAAGAGCGCTGGGAAGTGCGACCACAGCCGGACGTGAAGCAGTCGAGCTCGGCTGAGAGAGAATCGATATAACCGGGAGCCTACTCGGCGAAGGAGCAGCCGGAATGGACTGAGCCGGAGCTGGATCAGGAGTCAACGGAAGCTGCCGATGCTTGTGGTGTCGGTGCGTCTTGTGATGCTTCTTGTGCTTCTTGTGCTTCTTGGATCGCTTCGACCGATGACCGGTAGGACTCGACGAGGCACGACGTTTGCGATGCTGCTGCTTCCCCGAAGCTGGCGCAGAGGCAGAACTCGTCTCGTCACCAGAATCCTTCGATGAAGGCCGCGAGGAGCGGCGATCACTCGGCGGCAAGGACTCATCGCTCATCTCGTCGTCAGAACCGAAGATCGCCGCATGAAGATTGCTCGCTTGGGCAGAACGACGAGCATCTGCGGTCGCTGAGTCGGAACCTGAAGGACTGCCAGCCGAGTTCTCTGATAAGGAAATGGGATCCAAGAGCGACCCAGCGGCAGGATTCGTCGAGCCGGTGGACGGTACAGAACCATCACCAGGCCCTAACACCTCGTCGGCAGACGCGTCGAGATCCTCAAGCAGCTGAGCAGTCACAGTGCGGGCGGTGGCAGCAGATCTCCGGATAGGGCGCCCAGATGGGGACGTCAACACGACCGTGGTCACAGGGAGAGACGGTCTGAGGACACTCACGGCCGGAGTCACTAAGTCAGTCGGCGTGGTGGATACGCTCAGACCCCGAGAGGGCGACTGGGAGCGTCCAACCACCGTTAGCACGACGCTGAGTGGTGCGCTCGACTGGGGCAACCCAGCGGAGATGGGCGAAGTCGAGCCTGGGGCACACACGCTCGTAGCCGGGACAGGCAGTGAAGCTACGACATCGGATGAAGATATCGGCGGTGGGCGAGTAGCCGCGACTGACGAAGTCACCGGAGGACCAGAAGACGAAGAACCCGCCGAAGTCGTCGAAGCAACTACAGGAACGGTGTCGGCGGGCGGCTCAGGCAACTCAAACTCAAACTCAGCTTCGCTCGAAGCGTCATCGTCGTCTTCAGAGCGAGCAGAGACAGCGGGCTGAGTAGCAGAACTCAGCTGAAGGTGACGAACCTTCTTCCGCCGAGTCCGACGACGGAACTTCCAGAGCGAGGCCTTCCTCCATCGGATATAGTAGCTTGAGGTGAACTTGAGTACTGATAGCCTCGTGTCCATCCTCTCCGGGGAGTGGACAAGCGTACGGTTGAGGCGGATGCGGCGCCGGTGCACGATGACGAGGACCTGCAGCAGTGGGAGACTTGGGGTTGGCATAACGCCGAAGCCGCTGAGTCGAGGTCAAGTTTGCCAAAGGCGTACGGTGAAGCTGAGCAAGAGTCGGCTCAGCCTGGGTTGTTACCGCCGCTGAGCTGACTGGAGCCGCAGCCGAGTCTGCCAATGAAGTCGCCGAAGACGCTTGACTAGCTGAGGGAACCACACTAGGACCAATAATGGAACTCGCCACTGGAGCATCTCGGCGAGGATGGACAATCAACTCCAACCGCCGAGTTTTCACCAGCGGGGATGTTGAGAACCTCAGGAAAGCGAGATTTCAAGACACGACACAGCCGGGCGTTGAGGAGAAGGTCGGACGGATCAAGCCCAGTAACTTGCAAGCCACCGCCAGCAGCAGCAGCCTTGTGAGGATCGTGCATCGGAATAGTACCATTCCGACGGATGAGCCGCTTCTGTCGCAAGATCACAGCCCGCTGTTCAGCGATCACCCGACTGAGCGTGCCGAGAAATGGATCGGAGAAGGACGTCGATCTCGGCGTCCCGATCCAAGACTTGCTGATGGTGGAGCTGGGCCTGACCCAACGCAGCGTCAACCTTGCTCTGCTCAGCTGCGATGGCCCGAGCAAGTTTTGCCTCACTCAGAGCTACAGCCTTTCGCAGCGACGCGAGGAGATTAGCCGATTGCGTGGCAGCAGCCTCCAATCGAGACACTTGCTGTTGAGCCGACGAGAGCTGAGTTGACAAGTCGACATTGCTGAGAGCAAGCGAGTCCAGTCGCCGAGTCAGTGCGCGGTTCTCCTCCTGAGCAGCTTGATTGTCAGCTTGGAGATCGCCGATGATCTTTGGATAATCAAGAGCGGCGTAGTTGCCTTTCAAGATATCCAACAGTTCCCTCGCGGAAGCAGCATGCAAAATCGCTCGCCGCTGCACGGGATCGGAGGGCTCCACGGAACGAGTAAATCCGTAAGCCATGAGCCTCGCCAAGAAGGTCAATTCTTCTCGGCGATCATGCCCTTGCTCGTTAATTCTGGCCATAAGGGAGTCAAGACTCACTGGAGCAGCCGAGCTTGGCTGATTGGTGGCGCCCGAAGTGGTATCGCCCGGCAAGCTCGGTGGACCAGGAAGGCGCACGCGAGAAGACTCTGCCGACTCCGCGTCAGACTCATGGGAAGTTGTCAGGTCAACCAGCCCAGCTTCATGCCGGTCGCTGACCCCACGAGTACCGACGGGTCGAGGAATCGACTCAGCTGGCACGCCTTCACCTCGACGAGGAGTTGGAGAAGAAGGATGGTGCCACGGGTTGTGCTGGAACAACATGCGAAGAGTAAGGAGCTGCCAAGTGAGTGACAGCGGAAGCAACGAACGTACCAAAGAAGGTGGTGGGGAGCCGCGAGACATCATCAGCCGAGTACGGACCAACGGTGGCAGAACAAAATGAAGGATTAAGACACTCACCAGCTCGGCTCGTATCATAACCGGGGCAGTTGTGGTGTAGGGATTTCCAGATTCGACCATACGCCGACCTACTTTAGGTCAAGAATCGGCTCGGTCTGATAACCCCAGAGCTTAGGAGCAAAAGATCACGGTAAGTACTCGGCGATCTGTCCGGATATGCTATCCGGGACAGCCGCTGAGCTCAACGGTCGCCGGAACTCAGCTGAAGGGTCGGTAGAGATCCGAAACGACTACATTTCATTAAATATTTGTATGAAAAGCATAAGGATTAAATTGCGGGGAGCCGAAAAGGCTCTCCAGAAAGCTAACAGGCCAAAATTTCCTCATGTCAGACAGCGCGTCCCCTTTCGCGGTAGTCCCTGCATAAGGATGGAATAGTTCTTCCCGTCAATCTCCGAAAGGCATGGCTTGTTAGGATATTGACTGGTAGCTCCCAGAGGTTATGTCGGGTCCTGGTAGGACAAAGGTCTCGCTACGCGCGAAAGAAAGTCCCGCATACTCAGCGGGGCCGGTACGTCGGATAGCCCGGGTGCCGTAACACTTCTAGCTGAGCTGCCTCTGCGCTCGGTGACCTGTAAAAGCGCTCGCGCGCCGTCGTCCATCCCTTTGGTGAAGGGCACAGGGTTGTGAACGAGCTCAGCCGAACCAAACTCGGCGGAGCCTCGGAAGTGATCTGACTTGGTTAGTCGGAACCGGGTGGAAGCAAGCCACTCGTCTGTCCCGGAAGGGCCGGACCGCGAGGGGACCACCCTCTGCGCAGGCCATACAAACCGCCGACCTAACTCGGCGATTCGTTGTGGTTCGTGTAAGAAATCCACATCTGACGATATTTGTGTGTTCTACTACACCACAGTTATGTGTTTCCCGTTTGATGTGTTTTTCAGATTCGAACGGATATTTATAAGGTTATCTCGTAATGCGCACTGCATGGATAGTCGGGATCCATTTGGCAGTGAGGTGCATGTATTATATGTAACAATACTCACGTTCACTTGCGAAGCGGCCAACGAACCGCTGCGCTCTCAAACTTTGACAGAAGTGCCAAAATACTTGTTCGGCCGCAAGTAAAATTGAGGAGATATTTTATAGACACTTTTATCTGAAATATATCCATTCTGCTTAAGTTTCGCTTGGTTGTTGCTCGCAGATCGTGTAATTTATTGCACTACTGTACATGTAGCGATATCCATAGAGCACAAACTTTTTGTGATAAAAAAATTGCCCTATTTAGAACCTTTAACTTTAATTAATAAATTTGATGCTTCTAAATGAGAGGTACTTTTTACAAATTTAGAACCAATAATTTTTTTAATAAATTTGAAGCTTCTAAATAAAAAACACTTTTCACAGATTTTGTTAAAAGGTTTTACTTTTTGTTATTCCTATTCGATTCATCTCGATGAATGGGCTGCCATCGGTGCGTAAATCATCCTGTCTACCAGCCTCCGCAGCTACTAACCTACGCTCTACATCGACACAGGAACTCCTTCACGGCGAGTGGCAATGCCAGCGCGAGATCGACCTGCTGAAGCGCACACAGACCGCGCACCAGCAGCTCACTTCGCGTCTACAATCAATGACGCGCGAGCTGCGCGGAGAGCGCTACTATCCGCGGCAAACGGAGACCAAGCAGCTACGTGTGCGCGTGTATCACACGTATGTTCTGCCTGTTGAAGCCACAGAGAATACACCAGCGACACCCGGCAGGTGGACACTCAAGATCGAAGGTATCGACGCTGCAGCGGGAGAACCGACGATTGTGGTGAGAAATAACGATCTGCAGCCTCTCACCATTACCCCCACGAACTAACTATACCTAATGATATTATAGAAATTCTCAAGCTACTTTCGCAAGGCGTCCATCGAGCTGGATCCGCATTTGTACTCAGACCACGTAATTGAGGTAAGTTTTTTTTTCTTATTAATAAAAATTAAAAACATTTCTTATTTCGTAAATATTCTTTGCTTCAGTGGACAAGTTTCCAGAAGACAAGTCATGACGTGGATGGGATCGAAGTGTCGAGAACAGGAAACACGGCACAAACTGTGAAGATCAAGCTCCTACCGGCTCAAACTCCTGAGCGGTTTACCATTTCGCCCGAGTTGGAAGCTGCAGTCGGTCAGTATTTGGGGCCAGCCAAGGCATACACCAAGCAAGATATTGTGCTGGCGATGTGGGAGTACATCAAGCTACGCAACCTCATCAAGGCAGACGACTGCCGAGTGGTCCGATGTGACGACAGACTGCTGAAGGTGCTCAACTGCGTGTCGTTGCCCTTCACGTCGCTTGTCGTGGCACTCAAACAGCATCTGACGCCTATCAACCGTATCAATCTCGAGTACACGCTGAGTCTGTCGACGGCTTGTGAGTCGGAATTACTGGACGAAAAGTTCTTCGATATCTCCGTAGCTGCAACGTCCGAGCTGGATGACGCTCGCGCTCGTGCACTCAAGGAATGCGAGGACCTCCAACAAGACCAGAAAAAGGAGCTGGCGTTGCTAAAAGAACAGGAATTGGACATTCTGGAGCGTCTGCAGATGTACACGAGGAAGAAAGAATGGATGACTCAGTTCGCTCAAGACCCGTGTGGGTTCATGGCAGACGTCAAGAAGTCGCAACTGGCCGACGAGGACGTACGTGACTTGTATGAGTTTATTTAACCTTTATTTTATCCATTTAACCCTTGTTAATACAGATTCTGGCTGCCGAAACCGAGTTAGATGAAGTCAACATTCCACGTCCGCAGCAGTTCACACAGCCATGGGTTCGTGAGGTGCTTGGGGAGCTGCTGACGACACCTACCAACTAAACGGCACATAATATTACGTGGGTGTTACGACGGATATCAATAGCATTGTCTGTCTGACCTTTGAAGATCTTTTAAGAAGTTGCGAAGCTAAAACAGCGGAAAGAAAACGACAGTGTGCACTAGTGCCTTGACCTCACTTGTCTGCGAGGATTGTCCGGGTCTGAGTGTCCCCTTCATCTCGGCTAGACTGCTGTAGACTCGTTCGCTGCAGATCTTGATGCAGCAGTCTGCTACTCGCCTACGCTGTGACCCAACGGATTATGCCAAGCGGCAGCAAGAGAAGAAAGAGCGAGCTAAAGAACTTCGTACACAAAGACAGCGCGGGGTCTTCTCTGACGAGCATACATTCTCCCCAAAGTATGTCTCTGTTGCACTTGTTTTTTTTTACTTAAATTAAAAAAAAAATGTTATTGCCAGCAGAATAAACACGAGAGCTCGACATCATCCGCCGCCAGGTTCACGTGAAGAGCTCGATCAGGCTTCAAAATCGGACAGTATGGCATACCGAAACTACGACTACAACAACAATCATCAGGGCACGGACGACGGAAGCGACGCCCTGGATTCCTTATCGCGCAGGTATCCGAAAAAAGCGTCGACATCTGAGCAAATGGCTTCGTTACATGTTACGCCACTTGATCCGGGTATGTTAACGTGCTAGTTCACTTTATTATTTCTGGTGCAATGCTAATGAATTGACTTAGAGCATGACTCCTTGTTCCGAGAAGTGAAACGAGCAACAGGAAGAGAGATCGAAGACCTCCCTATCAAGAAAACACTAGCGCCATCACGGACAGGGAGCCATACGGGTCCGTGTCTACGGAATTCGAGTTGTGGTTGTCCGAAATGTGGCGGTGGTGGCGTTGTCTCAAGTAACATGAGTAATGTCAATGCGCAAGACGCACCTATGCGTCGACGAGAGCTCAGGACCGATCCGTATCGAGAGAACACTGTGATGGCATCGCAAAACGAGATGGGGGTATGTAAAATATGAAAGCTTTTTTTTATTCAGTATCCTGCTTCACTAACGAATAGAAAATCTATAGAATTCACTGATGCTTCTCAAGTCCAAGATGTCTCGTCGGAAAGCGCGGAGTGCACCAACGAATCAGGCCTCACTGTTTGTAGAGACGAACACGCCTAGCGCTGTGATTCACTCGGCACGCTTGCCATCATCCACCTCCATGTATCGAGATACGCCGAGTCCACCACCAAGACAACAAGTGGCACCACGACGAGCTCCAGCTCAAGTAGCAGCTCCAGCTCCTCCTACCAATCGCAAGACGCTCCTAGGCAATGCTCATGACGGAGATAGCCACTATCCTGCGCCGATCAATTCGGGGTTTAATCTACCCGAAGAACTCGTAAGCATAACCCTTAAATTATCTATTATATTCGTCTTATTTTCTAACCTGGGCTCATTGCTAACGGACGTTCAGGACGAGTACGGAGATGGCTCGGAACAAATGGAGCAGTGTCCGAACTGTAGTCGGAAATTCAACGTCGTGTCATTTCAGAAGCACCAGAAAGTTTGCGAAAAGGTTTTTTCTGGTCACCGCAAGGTGTTCAACATGACAGCTAAGCGACTGGAAGGAACGGAAGCAGAAAAAATAGCGAAGGAAGCCAAAGCGAAACACAAAGGTGCAGCTCGGAAGGCGCCTCTATCAGCGACAGAGCAGCCGATTAAGGTGAAAAGCGCTGCGGACTGGAAGCAAAAAAGCGACATGTTCCGCAATGCCATGAAGGCCAGTCGAGACGTATCGAAGGCATTGAAGGAAGGGAAAGAGTTGCCTCCTATGATGCCGTCTGCGCCGGATCCGAGTCTCATCCAGTGCGAGTATTGCAGCCGCCGCTTTAACGACAAAGCTGCAGAGCGCCACATTAATTTCTGTCGAGAAAAGACTCAACGTGACAGTATGAAGGGAGGGGCGAAGCGAGCCCCAGCTCCAAAACCCGGATCTCGAGCTGCAGCAACAAGAAGAAGATAAGCGGGTTAAGAAAGTGTTGATTCATGACAAAAAAAGCTTGATGAATTTTACTTTCTTTTCTGTAATTTTGTTGTAATATAGTACATAAAATCTTAGCCGAGAACGAATAGCCGATCCTTCGAGTGCATTATTAATGATGAGGGAGGACACGTGTACACGAATGGCAGGAGGTTGTCAAGCTCGAGGCAGGTAGATCGCATGACACCGATTACGAGCATTTCTCTTGATATGTAGTTGAGAAAAACATCCATGAACGCCCCACCAACAAATTCGTCGTTAATTTCCTCCTCAAAAAGTCGACGGTGGGAGCTTTCGGTATTGTTTCCTACGTTCGGAGAATCATCACCGTATTTAGAGAAAGTCAATGAGCCACTTCCGTTTGCTAGAGCTACAACTACTTCCATAATGTAGGGATTGTAGAATGCTTGACAGACAATTCGATTCAGGAGACTCGATAGGAAAATATTACCCCCAGCAAATGAAGGAGTCAGAGATGGGAATTCATCCTGGACAGCCTCATCACACGGGCGACATAGTTTTGCATTGCAAGCGTAGTGCAAGACAGAAAGCGTATTCCCAGTGGCCGATCTCGAGCCAGCAGCTGTGATTTTCCGTTCAGCTTTCATAACTTGGGTGTCGAACTGTTGCAATACACCATCAATAATGTCGGACTTCTCACGAAATATACCTGGGTCTAGACCAGGAAATCGCCCCAACGCTCGTAGTTTTACACTTTCCAGTGGAATACCTTGCTCTAGTTCCCGTTTAAAAGAAGTATGAGCTGTTGGCGAGGTCTCAGCATCACTTTCCAGTCTGCTGCTCTTGCCGCGGTGAATTCGCGGTGAAACAGGTCTGGAAGCTCCTTGGCTGATATGTTCAATAGCTAACAAAGAGCAGACAACACCGAAGTCAGCTAGACGCTCGTCGTCCAGTAAAGTGTTTTGCCCGCTCAGTCCGAATTCCGATACTTCATAGCTGGATGTAAGTTGGTCTGGTTCTCTCGATACGCTTTTGTCTAGCGGCAAGATCACAACTTGCCGAGCTTTTGACGCCTCGACGCGTAATAGATCATTAATTCGTGCTGGGCTCCCGACGACTAGGATCATATCACGTAGTAAATCTGCAGAGTGTTGTTCCGCCACCATCATTAGATCTTTAACTGTTGGTCTGTACGCCAGCAAGAAAACAATTTGTGCGTCTTCGGTAAACCCGACATGCGTCATCTGACGTTCGTGCTGGGTGTATCTCCGAAGTAACTTAGAGATCGAAACTGCATCCGACAAGCTCCTGGAGCAAATGACGTAATGACCTGATTGTCCCTTTACGTTCGATCTTAAGTGATCTCGTTGGAAAGCTGCTTCAATTCTGTCCACATCTTTGGATCGGATAGCTGCATGCAACGAACGTGTCTTCAAAGACGCCTTTGTCACAGATGGCGTGGACTGGGCTCGTTCAATTGGGGGTGGAGCGCTTATTTTTGTATCAGAGGTGAGGGCAGCAGCTAGTACATCGCAGTTCTTGGTTAAAGTGTCGCTAATCGAAGCTGCTGAGTCGCCCCATAGACCGTATTCGTCTTGATCTCCCAGCTCCAAGCGAATATTTCGGACAGAGGCTGATTTCATTACGGGGTGAAAGGAATGACGAGGTGATCGACGCCAAAGAGAGTCCGATGAAATTCGTACAGGAGAAGTCAACATACTCGCAGACGACCTGAGATCTTCTTCAGACTCGCTTTCCCAATACCCATACGAATTTACAATACGAATAACATCCGAGGCACTTTTCGCGATGACAAACCCAATATCCCTGTAGCACACATACATGGCTGTCAGCAGGAAACTTCATAGCGATCCTAGTTATATATCGCTAGTTACATATCGTACCCTTCACTTATGAGTGTACCAAACGGGGCCAGATAAACCGTACCGCCATGCGTTCCTTCATCTGCTGAGCAATTCCGGCTGAAAATCGAGAAGAGTAGAGCCCCATATTTTTCGTACATGTGTCGAGCTACGCTTCCGAATTTGCGGTCGTCGAAACGGGACGAAAACATGATAGGGAATATCTGATACGTCAGCCCGTCTAGGTACTGTGCGCAACAATAGCGATACTGTAAGTTTATATTTTCTAGTGGAGGTCGTTGGGACCAACTACGCACTTCATGGATCCATCCTTTACTCCACACTCGACGTTTAGTGTATTGGCCTACATGATACGAGCGGATTAAATTCAAGATGAGAGTACTGGATCCTGGACACACTGCAGCTCGAGCAAGTAGCATATCCTTCAGCGCCGACGTCTTCGTAGCATTTGCACCCAGTAGTGCTGACAACATTTCGTATTCGTGCACACGTGAGAGCAGCTGAACGTAAATATCCACGTGTTTCCCACACGTATCGGCGTAGTTTCGTATCGAGACTGCATGTAGAATTGTTGCTGCATCTTGTTTTGCTGGTTCATTTCGATTGTTGGCTAGGAAAAAGACAGCGGTCGCAGATGCCATCTTCACTCGACACTGATCCCGTTCCTTCATTAAACTTCCTCGTAAATAACTCGTTCTTCGTCTGTATTTTTGCTTTTCGAGAACACAAAGTAGTTCTGGTGATGGAGGTTCGTCACTGATAAACACCACGTCTAAGTGGATAGATCCACGGCTGGGATGATAAAACTCTTGAAGGAACTCTAGCACAGTGATAGCCGAGAGATTATATCCAGAGACGATGACGTGTCCAGATGCCTTGACCGTGACTTCTTTATCCCAAGGCTTGCTTAGCTTGGCTAGCGCATTGAGTTTGTTGACTTCAGCAGGAACAATCGTGAAAATAGCAATAATGGCAACAATCACGAACACGTGTCCCAAAAGAGTGCGCGGAGTGACATCTCCATAGCCTAGTAGTATGTATACAAGTGGTTAGCTCTTTCAATGTGTCAAGATAAAGGCATTGTCCTTGCCTATAGTCGATACCGTCACCAAAACGAAGTAAAGCGAGTCGTGATACTCCAATTTATCGTCTTCGTCGTATCCATCAGACTCTAGCGCTTGATAGATCCCCGCTGCGCATAGAATAACTGCAATTGTCGAAAAAATAAAGACTCCAAGCTACGTGCACATGTAACATCGAAGTGAGCCTCCAAGCCTCATCGCGATACAAAAAAATGATCGGAAATCTTACCTCGTACTCGAAGCCGTGTTTCTTGAACTTAATGTAACGAGCCAGCCGCAAGACACGTAGAATGCGGAAAATACGGAGTACGCGGAAGACGAACATCAAGTTTGATCGAGTTCCTGGATCCACGAACTGCAAAATAACTATCAGCACCTCATCGCGGACAAAGAATATAGTATACTCGATTGCATACCACAATTAGTGATGGGATAATCGTGACAAGATCGATCATTCCATGGCCTGAGAAGACATATTTCCAAGGATCGTTTGCTACAAAAAGGTGCAGCCCAAAGTCGAAGATGAAGAAGGACGTAGCGACCACCTCAACCGCAAAGCGAGAGTGGGAATAGTAAATATCCTGGTCGTAGAGCTCGGCGATGTACGCCAAGAAGATGAGCATGCTCAGAGCGAAATTGACGAGCTCCAATGCTAGTCCGTATGACCCCGCTAGCATTGTGTGGGCTCTCTCTTGAAGTGTTGGCACGTATATCTGCGCCACCGATCGCCCCACCTCCGCTCTCTTACCCAAGTTGTCACTGCGAACGCTGCTGATCTTCACATCAAACCTGGATGCACTCTCATCTGCGCTTTGTCACTTAAAATATGATAAACACAATGTAAAATTAATAATTGTTTACATTTGTTTGGGCTATCTGCGACTTGAATGCTGTCTTCATGTGCGCGTCCCGACTGTATTACACACCATAACACTACTATTAGAGCGTCACCACCACCTCAAACAATATAACCACATACCGTCTTCATCGCTTCACGTAGTTCCGCCATGTCTCTGCCTCCGTCGGGCGTCGCCACCTCCAAATAATGCGGCATGGCTGCCCGCATTGGCGACTTCTCCCTGCTTCAACGCTACCATCACTCTTGATTGAGTGCACCACACTACTTTTGCCATGTGTGTCAGTTTTTGTGTGACAGCCATTCGACATCAAGACGTCAAAGTCCGAGATGGGAGGTGCTCCGTGTGTGACCCCAACGTGCAGCAAGAGCGGCTCGCTCATCTGTCCGACATGCAAGAAGTTGGGCATCCCTCCGGCCATGAGCACCTTCTGTTCACAGGAGTGCTTTAAGGGCTATTGGTCCTCACACAAGGCGCTGCACAAGATGTTCACACAGGCCATGGCCGAGGAACAGGCACGCAATGAGAACGCCTCGCCCTTTGACGGCTTTGAGTTCACTGGAAAATTGCGACCTGGCGAGATCTCGGATATGAGCACCGTGCCTGAGCACATTAAATGTCCAGACTACGCCGAGACGGGCATCCCCGTGTCGGAGCAGCAGGCTAGTAAGGCCATCCCCATCTACACGCCTGAACAGATCGCTGGCATCCGTGAGGCCTGTCGCCTTGGTCGTGAGGTGCTGGACATCGCTGGAAAGGCACTGCGCCCCGGTGTTACCGGTGACGAGATCGACAAGATCGTGCATCAAGCCTGTATGGAACGAGAGTGCTACCCGTCACCACTCAACTACTACCACTTCCCCAAGTCTGTCTGTGTTTCGGTGAATGAAGTCATTTGCCACGGTATTCCAGACTCGCGTCCTATTGAGGACGGAGACATTGTAAACCTCGATGTGACGGTGTACAAGAATGGCTACCATGGAGACCTGAACGATACATTCCTGGTAGGCAACGTGGACGAGGACGGTGTGCGGCTGGTCAAGACGGCGTTCGAGAGTCTGGAAGTGGCCGCCAAACTCATTCGTCCCGGTACGATGTTCCGTGAACTGGGTAAACACATTGCAGCTGTGGCTAATGCCCAGGACTTCTCGGTCGTCAAGACGTACTGCGGTCATGGCATCGGCTCACTCTTCCACTGTGCGCCAAATGTCCCTCATTACGCGAAAAACAAGGCTGTCGGTATCATGAAGCCCGGTATGATCTTTACGATTGAGCCCATGATCAATATGGGAACGTGGCGTGACAAGACGTGGCCGGATGACTGGACGGCCGTGACGCAGGATGGTCAACGCTCGGCCCAATTCGAACACACGTTCCTCGTGACGGAGACAGGCTACGAGATTCTCACTGCGCGCGAGAATGAACCAGTGATGGAGTGGAATCTTGCCAAGGTGCAGCGACCGTAAATGTTCATACGCCGTGTTATCAGCAGTGATTGCCATGAAGCTGCTGTAATAGATGTATGACTCTTGTCAAGCAGCGCACAGACGTGCAATAAGGTAGATGACAACCATTTTTGGTCTTGACATGCGCTGGAGATAAGTTGCGCTAATGTTGACCATCATCGCTCATCATAAACGCTATGAAGTACCTAAGACTGACATTTTTTTTTCGATGTGATCATAAGTATCTTCCGATCATGATTCAATTTTACCTGACGTTTGTCAGAAGCTCCCGTCTCATGCTGTCATAGCACCATCGCCTAGCGAAATGACATATCATGTTTTTTCCGACGACGAGATGGATCTTTCTCAGGGAGTTGTTTACTGTGGCGAAAACAAAAATTCGTTTGAGACCGTACGTGTACGGTACATGATGTACCGCGTTGTTGAGGTAGCAAATCTTCAGCGTACCTGTACGCTGAAGAAAATGTGCTACATTCGATACAAATTTTGAATTACTCCGAGGTAATTGAGCTTAAAGCTATTACGGGATAGTTTAAGGAAGTAGCGTGTTGAGTAGACAAGAAATCAACTTATTTTTTTTTCAAGATGTTCATTCGCACCAGCAAGGCGTTGGCTCATCGCGCTAACAGCACGAACTAGTTTTCTGCAGCATGTTTGTCTTTGTAAGAGTCGTGGACATGCTCTAGCTTTACTGCCAGATGACAGCTCAAACTTCTTTTGCTTGCTGTTGATTTGGTGGGAATATCGAATCGACTCACGCCCACTTGCCGATGAGGGCCATCAAACCAGCACCCAGCCACAAGCAAATGTACAACAAGAAACGCTGGGCCGTCGGACGCGACAGGAACTGGCCGTTCGTGGTCATGTTGTACGTCAACAACTCCACCAGACCCGTGTACAGCAGAATGCCACCAGCAACGCAGTTGAGAATTCCCTGAACCCACAGTGACGTCGTCGACGAGTCCGAGTATGTGCTTCGGATACCAATGCCGATGACTTGGCCAATTGGAGTCGTGATGGCGAACACGAAGTTGACAATGAAGAGCTTGCTCTTACTTTCGAGGGAGCTGAGCGCTGAGCTGCCGATAGCGACACCTTCGAAGAACTGGTGAAAGCACAGAGCTGCAAGGAGAGTCTTGAACTCTGAGCCAGCCGTGACTCCGAGATCAAGACCGATGATGACGGAGTGGAAGACAACGCCAGCCTCGAAGATGATTGTGGCAATTTTACGACGAATCTTGGAGTCAAGCTCGCTCTGGTCGAAAGCAGCTTCGTGATACGGATTCTCCACTGGCTTTGGAGTTTCTCGATCCGCCGGAGTAATTGCAGCCTCTTGAGCTGTGATCTCCCCGTGAGCGTGACCATGGAGCATCGAATTTTGGGCACCGAAAAACACCGAACTCTCACACTCGATGAAGTGCATGACCACCAGAGTGATCAGCACAAAGGCGAGACCCAGACTCTCGTAGTTTTCCACGACAGCTCCGAGACACTCGTTGCTTAGCTTCTCAATGCCCTCGTTGACCATGTGGATGAGACCCGTGGCGAGAACAACTCCGAACGCGAAGGCACTGACAGCCTCCATAACGACCGAGTTGGCCTTACATTGAGGGATCTTCTGCGAGATGATCGGGATCATGGTGCCAGCCGCGGACACGACAAATATGATGAAGATAGCGCCAATGTGGAGTCCCATGTCGTACTCCTCAGCTTCGTCGAGGGTGACGCACCCGCAACAGGTTTCTTCTTCGGCCATGATGATGAACTCTTTTTTTTTAATAAGGAGTGTGGTAGTGTATGCTGGAACGCGAATGGGAAAGTGTTTTGTCATTCGATGGTATTCAGCCAGCGTAGGTTTAGAAGCAGACTACGGTAGTCACTACCTGTACAGTACACACAGTGCATGTATGCTAGCCTAGCATTGCTACAGTAGGCCGAATCTTGAGACCCGACTGGCGCCGTCGGCACAGGGCACCACGTCTCACCTGCACCGCCGCCGGACAAAGTGCATGTCTTGTAACATCACCTTTATCGCTACATGTACTGTATTACTGATTCAGTGACAGGTTATCATGCGGAAATGACTTCGACGATGTACCGCGGTGCAAAATACTGTGTGTACAGAACTTTTAATTAATTGCCTATCGCGACCGGAAGCGTTGTTGCGCGCCCGCAATTCTCGCGTCTGACGCCAAGAATATGCAAAAGATTGGCGTAAATTGTGTACTGAATTAACAAATAAAATATCAGTGCAGTGGATTTGCGTTTGTTTTTTGCTTTACGTTGTGCACTTATGCCCTGGCACTGTTGATATGGTCCGCCCTGCCGAATTGGAGGTGCACAACTGTACTACTAATACTCAATCAGTAATACAGTTTATTGTTCAAAACACAAAACTTGTATTGTCTAAAAAATGCATTTTTTAAACTAATAGGTGACTGTATTATATTAGAGCTTTTTAATATTATAATAGTAGTACATAACTTGCATTTAACCTTTATGATAACTAGCAGAAATACTTCATGTACCATGAAATACAGCACTGTCCTCTCAGAATTACAAACGCTAACAAGGTATTGTTCGTTTTATGCATTTTGGCGTAGCTCAGCCTTTTCATGACGACTTACAAGACTAAGAACGACAAGTTAGCCTTGAGCGATTAACAGTTTTGAAGGGATTGGCGATCTCGAGAACGAATAGTAGACTGTGAGAGCGAATGGCACACGAGCCAAGTGCCATTCGCTCTAGCAGCTCGCCACTCACTTCGCTTTATTCTTGATCGTAATGACCAAGTCAAGTGATCTTCGCTGGCGTGCCGTCACGTTAGTACATGTAACGGGGGTACGTAGCCCTAAGTGTACCCCTAGTTACATGAAGTATGACACGTCATACTTTGAGATATTTGGTACAAGGTACCAAGGTCGTCTAAAGCCAACCATTGGCTGATGACATTGCATTTCTAAAGGTGACTTATAGTTTGTATTTAACTCAAGCTTAATCTACCTATAAAATTACTCAGTTTACAATCTGCCTTAAGTTTGTCCTGTGAACTGCCGTTCACTGAGAGTTTGTATACTCTCGGAAGCCAACTTCCTCTAGCGCAAGGTGCTGTGTGCCCCGTCACACTCGGTAGCACTAGTAGTCAATCCACGCCACCGCGGGTAGACTACCTGAACCTCTCCGAAGCTCGTTGCCATGGATAGGAACGACTTCTCCCATATGGATGACTTAAAGTTCGTGTCGGTTCGGAAGATGGCAGGCATCTTCAAGGATGGAGGCCCTGCAGAGCCTGGTGGTGTCAGCACCGGCCGAGCAGCTCGAGCGCGTCAATGCGTTTGACGCCTACGAGCAGGGGCTCGTCGCGCATGTGCGGGAGAACCTGCAGGCTCCGGCGGCGGAAGCAAATCCGCCACACCCGAAGCCAATACGGCTGAAGATTAAGCCGTATGAAGGAAAGAAAGGTGAAAACCTTCACTTCTGGGTCCGAGAGGTAGAGCTCGCGATGGACGCGGCTCTGATCTCGACCGAGCAACTTCGTGTTGCTTTTGCGCTCTCCAACCTTAGCGATCGTGCTAAGCGTAGAGTGTACACACGGGAGGCAACATTTCCTGGATGTTTCACATCCTGGGCTCAGCTGTGCGAAGAGCTACGAGCCGCGTTCCTCCCGGCGAACTACGAGTACCGCCACGCTCGCGCTTTCTCTCGTACAAACAAAAGAGGCGTGAGCTGCACGAGTACATCCAAGAGATACGGGAGCCCACGGCGTCCCTAGTGGGAAACCCACGAAACGAACACATCAAGATGACTGTGTTCATGGACGGCCTTCGCGTTGGTCCACCGCGCACTTAGCTGTTCCGGGTGCAGTCAAGCACCCTTGAAGAGGCGATTCAAGTGGTTCTTCAGGAAGAATACAGCCATCGCCAGGCGCATACGCTGGCCTCAGCATGGCCTGGGAGTTCGTTGTCGACTCCCAGTCGAGCGAGCCCCAACCGACCAGTTCCCATGGAGCTCGGGTCCGCCGAGCAGCGCGACATTCGCTGCTTCGGCTGCGGGAAGATGGGCTACTATAGGCGCGACTTTCCCGCGGAGAGACTCCGCAGCCGAGCTTTCCCCAAGCCCGTCCTCAAGGGTCGCTGGCAGAAGCCAGGACCCGGGGCCAGGGGAACACCGGAAACAAGTAGGAACGGTGTCACTGCGACTAAGGTCGTCACGGCCCCCAACAACCAAGTGGATCTGGCCGTCAAGTTTGAAGACGTTGACAGCCTCGAACAGCTCACTGTTCTCGACATGGATCCATACGATATGATCCTGGGCATGCCCTGGCTTGAGGAGCACGAGCCCTGGATCGACTAGCGAGACAAGGCAATCGGTGCCAGCCGCCTTGCGAAGTCCGACAGGGCATTAGTGAGTCATGTTCCCACCTCTGTCAGGACCCGGGGCGCCCGCAGGGGTTTCTAGGGTACCAAAGCATCCGGCAGAAGCTTGAAAGTCGTCGACGTATATGACGACTCCGAGGATGCTTTGATGGTGGCAGCGCCCAGAGGAGGCGCTGGCCAAGTGGGTAACTTAGGTCCACAAGCGGGTAGCATAGTTCCGCAGACAGCTGCAGCTGTCACGAACACTGGCAATAGCGTGTTCAAGGTGGGTAACAGAGCTCCACACACTGTCGCCCAGACCGTAACTGATGAGGAAGACGTCGGATAGGCTTCCTGTGTGTATAACATAGTGCCACACGCTGTCGCCCAGACCTTAACTGAAGAGGAAGACGTCGGATACGCTTCCTGTGTGGATAACATAGTGCCACACGAGGCCACGAGTGCCTCGGATGTCGGCGCTCCTACATTCCCAGACGTGGGTAACAAAGCTCCACGTCACGGTCGCCGTCGACGACGACGACGCCGCCGCCAAAATTCGGATCCGAACGAAGTTCAGATCGACGTCGCGTCATGAGACTCGGAGTCCAGGGCCCGGACTCCTCCGACAAGGCCGGTGGAAGAGTGCAATCACATCTTCGATGGCGAGACCGGTTTACCCGTCAAGGCATCTGGTGTCCACTTGGAACCGTTGCCAGAGGTTGCAGAGATACTGAACCTCGAGAAAATGACGGTCGAGTCTTTCCTGGTCAACCGCAAGGCTGGAAAGGCTGCCGAGATGGTGCTCATAAGACCTGAGACCACTCGGGAGGAGCTGAACCCCTCCTCTGTCTTGGACGAGAACGCCCTGGAAGACCTAAACAAGCATTGTTTGGCGCGCTTGGGCTCTGAGGTCCTTAAGAACCCCAAGGATCCGGTGTATCCTTTGGTGTCGGAATATGCGGGCGTAGTGAGCAAACACCCACCGACCCAACTTCCACCAGATCGAGGCGTACGGCATGAGATTGATCTCGTGCCTGGCACAAAGTACTGTGTCACGAGGCAATGGCCTCTTCCGCTCGAACAGTGCGATGTCATTGATACATTCGTCGCTGCGAAAGCGAAGGCAGGCATGGTGCGGGAGTCGAAGTCCCCGCACTCGACGCCAACTTGCGTTCGGAAGCCGAACGGAAAGTGACGTCTAGCTCATGCTTATTATAAGCTGAACAACAAGACGGTGCCGGGAAGGATGTGTTTTCAAACAACATGGCCGGAAGCGTACTGTACAGTGCGCTGGATTTGGTAGACGGATACTACCAGATCCTGATGCGAGAGAGCGACATCCCGCTCACCGCGGTGAGCACTCCAAGCGGCATGCGTTGGGAGTGACTCGTCATGCTGCAGGGCTTGTCTAATGCCCTGGCGACCTTTAATCGCCTGATGACGCAACTGTTCCGGCCACTACGTGCCTTCGTACAGACGTACTTTGACGACGTCTTCGTCCATACCCGTGCCGAGGGAGGCAAGACGGCCATGGAGGTGCATCTGGGGCACCTCCGTCGAGTGTTGGAAGTGATGCGAGCGAACAAGCTCTACGCCAACATCGACAAGTGCGTCTTCGCGTCACCAGAGATTAAAGTTCTCGGTTGATTCGTAAGCAACGTGGGCGTTCGGGATGACCCAGACAAGGTCAAGGCCATAGCAGCATGACCAACGCCCCGATCCCAGAAGGATCTTCGAAAGTGGTTGGGCTTGGCCAACTACCTTCACAAGTAAAGCGCAGGGTACGCGGGCTTCGCTAAGCCCTTGTCGGGCCTCCTTCCGAAGGACGTCAGCTGGCACTGGGAGCAAGAGCACCAGGAGCATCAAGGCCAGTCTCCAAGAGGCCCCTGTCCTGGCCCTGCCGGACGAGACGAAGCCGTTTAGCGTCGTCTGCGATGCCTCCGATTACGCCATCGGATGTGCATTGCTGCAGGCCGACACGGCTGGACATGAACGAGCCATCTCGTTCCAGTCCAGGCAGCTCAAAGCCGCCGAGCGGAGCTACCCTGTCCACGACAAGGAGCTCCTGGCAATGAAATATGCCCTTGTGAAGTTTCGGGTTCACCTTCTGGGCTCTCGGCCCTTCGTGATCTACACAGACCACGCATCCTTGTGGACGGCGACTATCTCGCCTCACCTCTCCCAAAGGATGGCGCGGTGGCTGTCCTTCTACGCGGAGTACAACCTCCGCGTCGAATACAAGCCGGGCAAGCTCAACGTGCTTGCGGACGCCCTCTCTCGGCGTCCTGACGATGAGCTGGCCCACATCACACGGGTGACAACGGATCTATTTGATCGGATACGCATGGCGTATCCGGACGATAAGGCTGTCGCGCCTATCATTAAGTTTCTCGTGGCAGGA